GCATGGAGCCGCCGCGGGCCTGCTGAGCACCGGAGCGCGGGCAGCCGGCGGCACGGTGAGCGCGGGCCCGGCTCTTCGGCCAGCCTCCCCGGACAGGCGGGCTGCGCGGGGGCTGAGCTGCGGACCCAGCACGCCGGACTCCGGGGCGCTCCCCGGGCGGAGTCCTGGGAGTCTCCCACCGGCTCTGCGGTGTCCAGGGCTGGGAGGCAGACCCGGGGCTGCGGCAGCTCCAGGCCCCCTCCGCACTGACCCCACCTCTCTTTCTTTCTCCATCCTCTTCTCCAGCCTCTCCTCCCTTCCTCCCTGGCGGCTTCTGTTTTGTGAATGAATTAGGAGGCAGACGACGGTGAGGGGCCGGAGGCTGGTTGGAGTACCCTCTCCCCCACGACCTTCCACGCCCTCGTAGGGGGCTCGTACCTGTCCGGGCACCAAGATACCAGGCACTCTGGTTTCTGCGGGTCGCCGGGCCCCGGCAGCACGTGTCCGCGAGACTGGGCTCCCTTCCTTTGCCGGCTGGGAGGGGACCGGAGGGCGGCCGAGCGCAAGGCAAGAAGCCCCCGCCAGGCACACAAGTTTCCGTCCCACCGCGCGTGGGCCCCTAGCAGGGCGCACCTGTCAGCTGGAGAGGTGCCAAAGACCAGGCAGACCCTCAAAGTTTCAGGGGTGGGTAGGGAGGCGTGTGTCCTTAGCTGGGTTTTTTTGCTTCCATCGTCCGGGACCGGTCTTGAGCACCCCAGCCTCGTGCCCTTGAAGCCGAATGTGCGTTAGCATGCCGAGCGGGCTCCCGCGGATTCTTTCTGAGCCAAGGGTATGGGGGTGGGGGAGCGGGTAGAGGCTGGGGGGGGGGGGGGGAGCGGGTAGAGGCTGGCCAGGCTGTAGGATACCCCCCCCGCCCCTGCGCACGCGTTCTGCCAGCTCCGGGTGATACAGTCTCCTGTCTGGGCAGGGAGACTTCCACCATAGCCGGCACCAGCACCCGACTGCACGAGGGGTCCCCATCTGCCGGACCTTCTTGGGTCCTCTGTGGGGAGGGAGGCTCCGGAGTAGTGCCTCTAATACCTGCGGGGGAGGAGGGGTCCCACCTAGGGAATGAGGGGATCGGCCACACTGGGGATGGCGCCTTTGTCTGTAGCCACACTTTGCCTAGGTAGCCAGGGCCGGTGAAGATGACTAGGAGCTGGTTCGACTCTTAATTCCTTGAGTTTTCCGTTCCTTCTGGCAGGGTCCTGGGAAACCGGCACGTGGGTGTGGCCGGTAGGGCCTTCGCCAAGAGGCGAGGCTCAAGCCGGTGGTAAGAAGCATGGCTAGACCCTTTCTGACTGCACTGACCTGGTGGGCGCCGCCTCCAGCACAGCACCGAGGAGGGGCTGGCACCGGGCAGGTTGCTGGGATGGCCTCCGCACCCCTTGCCTCTCCCCAGGGCGCAGACGGGCAGTGGAGCGGGTAGCAGCTGTTGGGCATGCAAGCTCAAGTAGGATGGGGGCGCTCCCGGGCAACGGATGCAGGATGCAGGCGTGGGGGGGGGGGGGAGACCCCCGCCCC